AGAGGAGAAGCCAAGCCTTGCTGTGGCCGGACCAAAGGCCTGGGTTCCCGGTGCCGGAGGAAAACCAGTACCAGCAGCCAGGGGATGGAAGGCCTATTGCGTGAATCTTCGAGCAACAGGCCTCTACTGTATCTATATCTATATCTATATCTATCTATCTATATGTATATACAGATAGATCTATATCTATATAGCTATATCATCTATATCTATGTCTATATCTATATCTATAACTATATAACTATAACTATATATATATATGTCATCTATATATCATCTATTTCTATCTCTATATCTATCTATATATATCTATAATCCATCATTACCTGTGACTTCAGTGGTTGTGATTCTCAAAGTGGGCAGTGCCTGGGGAAGGAAGGGTGGAGGGAAACAGACTGGACAGTTAGGAAATAGCCCAAGCAATTCTGATTCCCCATTTTGGGGAGAGCGGTCTGAGTCTGAGGAACCTTCTGAGGAAGGCCGAGAATTCCAGAATGGTGGCTGTTTCCCACAGAACTCATCACCAGAAGAAATTGCTGGTTTTTTGTTTGTTTTCTTTTTATCAGCATTTATTTGTTCAGTTTTAAATATTTGCTCTGAAAATTTATTGTTTTCCTTCCCCTGGCTTTTTTTTTTTTTTTTGGCTAGAGATAGAAGGAAACTCATGTGAAGAAACAAATCTTGGTGTTTGTGTGAAAATAGGTCTCTTGTCAACCTCCTGGGATCAGAAGAGTTTTGCTTCCTCTGTTAGGTACAGCTTCATGGGAAGCTGAAGGACAGTCCCACACTTATAATAGATTGTCTGGGATACTGAGTCCCATTTGAGGTTTGCTCACCAGGAACATGGCATTGTGCTCCTCTAGGCCTCTTCTCTTCTGTGGAGACAAGTGTGGGCTTTGTAAGGGCTCACGGCCCTTACCTCTCTGGATCAGCTTATTTGTAAATTGTCCTCATACTGTATGAGCAGGTGTTTGCACTGTTTTGCTAGAGACAAAACTCTCCTTTTCCTTTATGTAATTAAATACTACAACATATATATATATAATGAAGTAATTATGTAACTAAGTATTATTATTAATTATTATGTAATTATGTGTATTTAATT